ACTGAGAGGCCAGAGGTCATGTGCCCAGGGAATCAGGTGACCACCTTTGGGACCTACATAGGGGCTAGGCTGAGCTCAGTATGGGGGCAGATGAGGTTTGAGTTAGACTTTGAGAGAAGCCCTTTCATGAGGCCCTGCCTAGGGGAGTTTACTGTACCTGAAAAGGCCAGACTGGACTGTTGCCAGTGTCCTTTGTTACTTTGATCCTCTTCATCCCTGTTAATAATGTGGCTGGAGGAAAGGGCCTTGGGCTGAACTGCAGTTTGGGTTTTGTTGGACCGTTCCTGGCTGGTGTGCCTGCTCACAGCTCTTTGCGTAGCTCGGTGTCCCTGGCCTCCAGATTGGCAGCTGGGAAAGGAGCATCCCAGGGTAAATGTGGTCAGGGAGCCCAGCACTGGCGGCAGGTTCGCCAGGAGAAGGCAGAGCAAGGACATTGGGTGGAGAGGGCTCCTGGGAAATCTGCAATGGAAAGGGACAATGGGGAGTGAAAAGTAGATGCCAAGAACCCCAGGCAGGGAAGAGAAATAGGCTTAGGTGGTGACAAGGACGAACTTCAGGGGATGTGCAGCTTGCTGTGGTTTAGGCATCCTGAACATACACGTGTTGGAGAACCAGGCTGACAGCACCAGGACACTGTGACCACTGCACAGAAGCATCACGCCCCAAAGGAACCAGGCTGAGCGGGACAGTGCTGGGCCCATGGTGCTCCGCTGTTGGGAATGTATCTGGCAGAGAGGCAGTGTCTTTCTAGGAGGGAACGCGGCCCTGTAATGGGGTCAGAGAATAGAGGGAATGTGGCCCTGTAATGGGGGAGACAGAATGGAGGGAACGTGGCCCTGTAATGCTGGACACATCCCAGAAGACTCCTCGTTGCTGCCCGCAATGCTCCAGAATGGGGCCCGTGTTGCCCCTGCTGAGCCCCCTGCCCTTGTTTTAAAGAGGGGAGACTAGAAATGCTGATCCCTGGGGCTCAGGGTCACAGCCCTAGCTCTTTACAGTCAGACCCAGCCTTTCCTGGTCTGTCGAAGTTTCACCCAGCACTTGCCTCCTCTCTTTCCACGGTGGCTAGCAGTCTGTTTCCCTGTGTTTGTCATGCCCACAGCTGTTTCCCCCCATTTTGAGTAGCTGTCAGTTGAAGTTATGGCTGCTGGGAATGGATTACATGGAGTTCAATTTGTATGTAAGAAATATTTGAATACATCAGCATGTCTTGGATACACAGAATTTAAACCACACCAGCGTATGCATTTCATGTGTGTGAATCAGGAGGCGTGAGACAAGCATTGTCACTGTTCAGTTCTTTCAGTACCTTAGAGCAGCCCCAAGCCATGGAGATTTTTGAACACGGAGGCTCAGTGGGTGCTTTCATTACCAGTGGATCAGACCTACTGGCCATGACCCCTGAAAGCCCAGTGTTCTGGTTCTAGCTGGTGTCCTCAGAGACTCTTCTTCAGAGAGGGAAAGCAGTGTTTCATTCTAACCCCACAGGGAGCAGAGTGCATTTTCAGCAAACCAGATTCTCTGGCCCAGAAATTCATTTGCACACAGCACGGTTTCACTGATGGATTGCCTTGCCTTGTGCGACACCTTACTCACTGACAGCCCAGTCCTGCAAACGTTTCCTGCTGTCTGTCTCCCCCATGTGACCCCACATGGGAGGGAGGGCAGAAGTGCTAACAACTGTTTGCACAATGGGGCCTTACACTTCTTATTCTACCCACTGACTCTCTGGAAGCTGATCCCCTAGTCCTACTGTGCTCTGTGACCCTCCATTCAGCTCCTGGCAACTGCGCCCCCCCCCCCCGCCCCCCAGTGCATTCTCATCCTCGGTCAGCTTCTCCCTTCCAGGACAGGCATAGATCCAGGATGATTTCTGCTCCCCGGGCATCTACTCTCTGCTCCATGGAGCTGTGCTCTCTGGGACTTTGGGGCAACGCATGATGAGCCGTGTTTGTCACTTAGCTGGTGTCTGGATAGCTAATGTCCCACTCGAGTGTGGTGGCTTCAAACCTCTTGATAGCTGGTCCAGGAGGTGTTTGTCCTGCTTGTCTCCCAGCACGGGGGACTGAGCACACATATTCAGTGCACTTGCTCCTTTGAGATTCATATCATGTATCCTTACCCAGAGTTTCTCACTGCTTCCCTCTTGACTATCATCAAATCCTGCTTCCCTGGCTTTGTAAATACTTTTGACAGCGCCAACACCCACCTTCTCGCCTGTCTGGCTTCCCTGTGCACATTGTGCCCCAAGCAGCATTAGCAATCGGCTGTGGGAAACATGACCTACCAGTTAGGCTGGTCAGTCAAAATTGCATCATTTAGTGTTCCGGTTAGTTTTCCTTGCTTGTTACCCCTCCTCCTGGCATGGGTGTGCAGGCATCTCAGAGAATTAATGCTCTTGTTTACTTCTTATCACTCGCCTTTAGTTGCATACCCTCTGTTTGCTTTCTAATCATTAAACAAAGGCTTCTCCTCTTTTCCTGTATGTACAAAGCTGCTCCAGTTCAGAAGCAGCCGAGGGGCCTTCATGTCTGGAAGTGTTTGACAGCTGCTCCACCCCTGGCTCTGCCCTTGTCTGCGTGCCTTTAAAGTGACGACATTTTAAACTTTCTAAAGCCTGGTAAAGCAAAGTTTTTCCAGAGGAGGTGAAAAACAAAAACAACTCCCCAAGCACACAATTCCATAGTCAGTATGGAGGGGCTGGGAGAGCTCCTCTCCCTGTAGAATAACACCTTGCTATTATTTATTGTTTGTGTTATCGTAGTGCCTAGGCATCAGGCCAGGATCCTATGGTGCTAGGCGCTGTACAAACCCAGAACAAAAAGATGGTCCCTGCCCTAGAGCTGCACACAGCATATTCCTCCTGAACTGGAACCTCTGTCCCTTAGCTCTGGGCTGTCCAGGGATCTCAAACAGACAAGTAAGAATCTCTTATAGTGTCTCTAGTTAGTTGAAATACAGCAACTTTGGCAACCCTTCTAGGGCTTCTCTGCATCTTAAATAATCCCAGTTCTGTCAGCCTTCCTGTTGTATAGTCCCCTTCCTTAACTTAGAATCCATTACCCTACATTGTTCATACCCCAGTTTAGCTCTGTCTTTGTTCAAATCCAGTGACCAATCCAGACGACACTCCACTGCACAGCTGATTTATACAGGGTCAGCACAGCACAATATCCTCAGATTTGTGTAACAGACCCACCTCAGAACAAGTCAAGATCCCGTTAACAGTCTGTCTGGTGGCTGCAGATCAGAGCACAAGGGTAGATGCTATGTCTGTTGATACACCTAGTGCCTTTTCCTCTACTGTACTAGCTATATCCGTGGCACTGAAATTATGTTTAGCATAGAAATTATTTCTGTGCACGCAAACTTAGACACATTATGTTTCGTTCACGAGCTCTGTGCCCATTAGCCTGATCTATCCAGAGGTTAGAATAGTTTCGATTAAGGGAGAATAATGCTTCATGGGGGACCCATTCCAAGCAAAATGCCTTCCATTGGGGGTACAAAGGAAGCCTTTGAGGATTTGCTGCATTGCTAGATGGTAAATTTAGTATCTGACAAAGCAGGTCTCCTGCTTCATGCCCCGATGAAGGGAAGCTGCTGCCCAGCTTCTGAAGATTCCTCCATACATAGGGTAAGACATTGCACAGCTAAGTTAGGAACTTCAGAGCCACCATACTGGGTCAGACCATGACCCATCTTGCCCAGTAGCCTGTCCCCAGCAGTGACCCGCAGAGCTTCAAGGGGAGAGTACAGATCAGGGCACTTATGGAGTGATGTACTCCTGGCTTCTGGCAGTCAAAGGTTTAGAGCATGGGCTTGTGTCCCTGACCATCTTGGCTAAGAGTCATTGATGGTCCTATCCTCTCCAGGAACATATCCAGTTCTCTTTGGAGCCCAGTTATATTTCTGGCAATCACAACATCCCATGGCAATGAGTTCCGCAGGTTAGTTGTGCATAGTATGTAAAAGTATTTCCTCTTGTTTGTATTAAACCTGCTGCCTGTTTATTTAATTGGTCAGCCCTGGTTTTTGTATTGCGTGAAACGGTAAATACAATTCTCTATTCACTTTTCCCACATCATTCATGATTTCATAGACCTCTCTCATGTCCCCCCACAGTCATCTCTTTCTAAGCTAAACAGTCCTAATCTTTTTGGTCTTTCCTCGTATGGAAGCCGGTCCAGACCCTGGATCATCTTTGCTGTTCTTCTCTGAACCTTTTCCAGTTCCACTGTATCCTTTTTGAGCTAGGATGACCAGAACTGGACACACTGTGCAAGGTGTGGGCATGGCATGGATTTATATAGTGGCATTATAATATTTTCTGTCTTACTTTCTATCCCTTTTCCTAATAATTCCTAACATACTGCTAGCCTTTTTGACTGCTGTACGTTGCATGGAAGTTTTCAGAGAACTGTCCAGAGTGACTGTATCTTGCAGATACTCTAGTGCGGGGTCTTTATGGCTGTCCAGAGGAGAAGTGGAGCAGGTACTGTGAAGCCCCAGGGTTAGCACAGCAGCACGAACATCTGCTTAAGCAGACTGGAGACAGCGACATTTTACTACTAGTGCCGTGGATGCTCGTGCAGAGACAAGACAGAAGAAAACAATTGAAGAACATAGTTATCACCTTACTTCTGCCTTCCACTGGGCAAAGATAATCACCAGATAAATGCACCAGCCTGGGAGCCTCCAGCCTCCTGGGAGGAGCAGAAATGCACTGACCATTACCAGCAGCTCCAGAAGCTTGTTCCGAAGTTTTGCTGCTGGTGTCTTGTCTATCTGCATTCCTGATAATCACTGTGTCGCTGCTCACCAAGGAATCATGCACACTAAACCTGAGGGGGTAAGCTTGAGTTATTCATCCCCAGAGGCCTGCTAGGGCCTGCTCTATAGTGTAACACGATCCCACCCTGCTTGCGATACATTTCTCCCGAGCCCTGCTGTTCTGTCACTGGGGCGGTGGCAGTGAGTATTCCACACACCCTGAGCGTGAGCGCTGTGCAGAGATGGTGCAGCCCAGTTCAGGGCGGTGCGGGGAGGCAGGGAAGTTTCTCTTTTCATTTCCTCTGTAATTTGCAAAACTCCCGGAACTTTCTTTTTCTGCAGACGAGGGAATTTCAGAGGGGCCCGGTTGGTGGAGCTGCAGGAGAAGAGCCTCCCGTGTGCGAGGACAATGTGTGCACAAACAGCCCCCTCAGAATCTGGGGGTGGCTGGGGAGGACAGAACTTCTTCATTCAGGGTTCGAGTGGGAGCTGCAGGGTTCTGTGTGAAGCAGCAGGGCTGAGGGAGAGGCCATGGTGGGAATGTGGGGTGGAGCAAACGTAGATTTTTATGTGTTGGCGAGCACTCTGTCATCCAAAGGACCTGGGCTACACAGCTAGTGGGCTTCTCTGGCTACAGCCAGCCCAGGAGCGCTCTGCCTCCTCAGGAGCACTACCCACCTACCTGCCACCCTGCAAGTTGCAGGGCCCCACCTGAGGTCCCTGTTCCTGGAGGAGGAAATCCCCCACCCCACTTGGCATGTGTTGGATTTCCATATTGTTGCCTTGATCGCCTGTTTCTGGTCACCCAAGAGGAGAAGAATGCTGGAGCGGTAGGTTTCTTCTCCCAGTCTGCCTGGCGTTGTCATCTGGGAGGGTTTTCAGTGTATGTGTTGTCATTAATCCTTACATTAAAAATGTGTGAATGTAACTGGAAGGTGAAAGCTAACAACTTGTGTCTGCTATTATTATACATGCCAGAAGCAGTAATGATTAAAGGGACTTTAGTGTGAGGTAAAGAGATGCCATCCTGGAACCAGATGACTGGGTGATACAATTAAGATAAAGAAATCACATATTATAGGAAACAGGGAAGCAGAAGAGATGAAATGTGTGATTGGGGAGTGCGGGGGATGCGATGAAATTAAAGAAAAATCACAATAAGGAACAGAAAATGAGCAGGACTTGGAGCAAGAGATGCAATTGCTGAGAAGACAAGAGGCACAGAAATAAATTGAGAGCAAACATTTTTGGAGCAGCAAAGGTGAAGATACAAAATATTCTTTCCCAACTCGATGAAGAATTTTGTTGCTGTGTTGAAATGAAAGAGTCTGAATCAGCAGGAAATTGGGGTGCTGAAGATCAGTTTCCCCCTGCCCTGTATGCGCGGAGGTAAAACCAGGGCAAAAACTCACAGCAGCGGGGGTAGTGTAGGGTCATATTTTCTGAAAAGGTCCAACCCACTGGAGATTAGGGTTCTAACAACTGCCCTCTTAAGGTTTGCAAAGGGGGGTTGGAATAGGGGCATGATACTGTACATAAATAAAAAGAAAAGGAGGACTTGTGGCACCTTAGAGACTAACAAATTTATTTGAGCACAAGCTTTCGTGAGCTACAGCTCATTTCATCGGATGCATTCAGTGGAAAATACAGTGAGGAGATTTATATACATAGAGAATATGAAACAACGGGTGTTACCATACACACTGTAACGAGAGTGATCACTTAAGGTGAGCTATTACCAGCAGGAGAGCGGGGTGGGGGTGGGGGGAACCTGTTGTAGTGATAATCAAGGTGGGCCATTTCCAGCAGTTGACAAGAACGTCTGAGGAGCAGTGGGGGGTGGAGGGAGGGAATAAACACGCGGAAATAGTTTTACTTTGTGTAATGACCCATCCACTCCCAGTCTCTATTCAAGCCTAAGTTAATTGTATCCAGTTTGCAAATTCATTCCAATTCAGCAGTCTCTCGTTGGAGTCTGGTTTTGAAGTTTTTTTGTTGAAGAATTGCCACTTTTAGGTCTGTAATCGAGTGACCAGAGACATTGAAGTGTTCTCCCACTGGTTTTTGAATGTTATAATTCTTGACGTCTGATTTGTGTCCATTTATTCTTTTGCATAGAGACTGTCCATTTTTGCCAATGTACATGGCAGAGAGTCATTGCTGGCACATGATGGCATATATCACATTGGTAGATGTGCAGCTGAACGAGCCTCTGACAGTGTGGCTGATGTGATTAGGCCCTATGATGGTGTCCCCTGAATAGATATGTGGACACAGTTGGCAAGGGGCTTTGTTGCAAGGATAGGTTCCTGGGTTAGTGGTTCTGTTGTGTGGTGTGTGGTTGCTGGTGAGTATTTGCTTCAGGTTGGGGGGCTGTCTGTAAGCAAGGACTGGCCTGTCTCCCAAGATCTGTGAGAGTGATGGGCCGTCGTTCAGGATAGGTTGTAGAGCCTTGATGATGCGTTGGAGAGGTTTGAGTTGGGGGCTGAAGGTGACAGCTAGTGGCGTTCTGTTATTATCTTTGTTGGGCCTGTCCTGTAGTAGGTGACTTCTGGGTACTCTTCCGGCTCTGTCAATCTGTTTCTTCACTTCAGCAGGTGGGTATTGTAGTTGTAAGAATGCTTGATAGAGAGCTTGTAGGCATTTGTCTCTGTCTGAGGGGTTGAAGCAAATGCGGTTGTATCGTAGAGCTTGGCTGTAGACAATGGATCGTGTGGTGTGGTCTGGATGAAAGCTGGAGGCATGCAGGTAGGAATAGCGGTCAGCAGGTTTCCGGTATAGGGTGGTGTTTATGTGACCATCGCTTATTAGCACCGTAGTGCCCAGGAAGTGGATCTCTTGTGTGGACTGCTCCAGGCTGAGGTTGATGGTGGGATGGAAATTGTTGAAATCATGGTGGAATTCCTCAAGGGCTTCTTTTCCATGGGTCCAGATGATGAAGATGTCATCAATGTAGCGCAAGTAGAGTAGGGGCATTAGGGGACGAGAGCTGAGGAAGTGTTGTTCTAAGTCAGCCATAAAAATGTTGGCATATTGCGGGGCTTTGAAGTCGTGGGGGAGTCAATTCCTTTCAGGTGTCTTTCCTGTATTGAAGGAATATACTGTACATGCTGGGACCCTCTGGGCTCAGCTGCTTTCATAGTCCCTGGAGATTCACTTCTGCAGAGCGGCATGGGAGGTCAGCCTCTCAGTGTATTCCCTGAAACAATCAGAGGACTGATACATGATGGCAAAGTTCCTGGGATCTGGTGCATGTTCACTTCTCGTGTTTATTTTGCACATGGGCCACCTGATTATATGAGATCTTGATTCTAGAGAACAACAAAATATCTGCATAATTAAATCCTAAAGCTGGTTTGAGTTGTTGTTTTGTTTTTGGGGCGTAGGGTGGGAATGCGTGCCTGTTGCCACTCTCCGTTCAAGATGCTTTCTGATGCCTCTCCGGAGTTTTCAGTAAGTGATATTAATATACACAGCCCACAGTCTGGTGCAGCAAGAAAGTTGGATCTCATTAGTCAAATTAAAACTTTGGAACTCAGTAAATCTCTGTGATAGACTCCAAGTGAATCCTGAGCTTATTTATAGCTCCCACAGTCTTAAACTGCAATATGCTCTGTTCATAAAGAAAATAAATGGCACCTTGGGCTGTTCAGCCACTAATTAACGAGACTCCCTAACTTGTGCTAATTGTAGACACTGAGCCTGCAATCGACCCAGCAGGAGCTGGCCTCAGGACACTGCAGATGCAGTTTAACAGTGTCACAACAGGCAGCGCTGAGATTCAGTAGAAAATCAAACAACTAATAAATACGAATAAATGGATCCAGGCGGGGTGAGTCTGCGGCAGCCACATTAGAGAAAAGGCCCTCAGTGACATAAATACAGCTGATCGAGTGCACGCAAAAGACGGGATGGCACCAAATCTGACCTCCCCTGCTGGCCCAAATTTAAGCTCTCCTAGGTGCTATGGTAACACAAGAACTAAATAATAATTAATAATTGTACTTTTGTGTCACTTCACCATACAAGATTGTTGGCCCAGGTTTTGTGGCTCTCAGAGCTAACCTGCACAGGGAGATTGCCCAAAATAGCTATTCTGGACTAGCTCCCCCTGTGGACACTCTGTTCCAGAATATTTACTCTGCTTTGGAAGTGCACTAAATATTCCAGAAGAAATTGACTTTTGTTCCTGAATAGAGGCCCACATGGTTTTTCAGAATCACTACTGCAGAGCAGCTTATTCCACAATAGCTCTTCTGGTCATTTTCTCCACTTGGACAAGACCTTAAATTCCAGCGTGACTGACTTTAAATCAAAACTGCTGGGAACTGCAGAAAGGAGGCAAATAGTTCTGCGTGGCTCTGATATTGCTCATTTGGGTTATTTGTTTGGGGGGAAAGGGTTTAAACTCCTTCCATGAAAACATAAACTGGGTTTAAAATGGACTGTTTACAATGTACCAATTAAATCTCTGTGCCTCTTGTATTCTTGCTGACTGTCCGGGCCATGCCGTTCAGCATCCCGCACTATCGCTTCAGCAGGCTAGGCCTGCTTTTTTCCTCTCAACCTATATATTAATGGTGTGGAAATGTATTTTCCTAAGTCTTCAGGTTGCTGATTCAAAAGCACATTTTTCACCTGTCATTTTCTCCTTGACCTCTGCAAAGAATTATGGGGCATAAGTGAAATTCAAATAAGGTAAATGCTTTATCTACTCTTCCTGCATTTTCATCCTCTCCAAAGTAAAAATGAAAAAGTACAGCAGTGGTTGCAAAGATGGATTGAGGCAGGGTGAGAATTTTAAACTTTATTCAATAAAGTGCTGGTATCTAATCAGAAAAAAATTATTTTATCTCTTTAACATATGTGCTCTGAGACATTTGGGGCCTCCAAGTGATAGATCTTCCCTGCCGCTTGCAGGTGTTTGCCATTCTGCACCATGGAACGGACAGTGATACATGTATTCCAACTTGGTCTGAGTCATGAAGATGCAGTGATGCCTTTGATACCAGGATGCTGTAATACACACTCGACCATTGGTGCAGCAACTGCAGCTTGCTTCAGGTTCTAATCAGCAAGAATCTGTAAGGATGGAAGTGTCACCAGTAAGATGGATTCACTGATGATGTTATGGGATGCAAGATATAATGTATTTCTGTCTACAATCACTTGCCAATTTCAGAAACCTCTTCCCTTGTGTACAGGTATTCTGTGTAATGTATGGAAACAAACACTCTGTCATAGTGTAACTCTGTTAATTTCAAATCCCTAATCAAAAATATACACCCCTTATAGTAGAGTCTAACCCTAAATAATAAATTACACTTTCAGCCAAGCTGTTATTAACGCCGGTACCCTTTGATGCACAAAGCAGTTCTTCTCTTAGGACACTTGTCTCCTATTGTCCGTTTCGTTATACAAGTGTGAGAGGCCAGTTACCCAGGTCTGGGCAATTTGGCACATTCTACGCTGCAGACCAGTCTGTGCGAAAGCTGAACCCAAGCACTTCATTCCTGAGGGAGGATAATGCAACAGTGAGATCATCAAAGCCCTTCCTAAATGTTCCCTATACAGTACATTATCACCTCCTTTGCTACTGAGAGACAGTCAGTGTGGGGGTGAAGTGCAGCAACCTTCTCACAGGGCCTGGCTAACCTACACCATAGCGTAGAACAGGAAATTACTAAAAGAATTTCCAGCTGAAACAGCCCTACAGCATATGCGTGTTTCCTGTGGGGCATTGTGGGGTGAATGCATTAAAGACTGAGTGCTGAGACATTATGGTGATGGGGCTCAGGTCAGTCCCACAGATGGGTGGGACAGTCAGACATCGAAACGTGCCCATTGGAGATGGACCTTTGCCTTGCAGTGGGGTGATGGAATAGGAGCTTCTGTCCAGCGGGGAGGAGGGTCTCAGGGCTTCAGCCCTGTGGTGCTCACCTGCCGGGGCTCGGGGCTCCAGCAGGAGTGGGGCTGAAGCCCCGAGCCCTGACGCCCAGCAGGTGTACTCCAGCTCTCGAACTTCTGAAGACTGTTGTATGCGGCTCAGTGGGCCAGTAAGTTTGGCCACCCCGTACTAGCAGCTTCCTGCCTGCAGTGCCGGGTGTTTGCTGCCAGCCAGGAGCCAGAGGAGGTCTTTCCTTCTGCTCTTATGTGCCAAGAGGCAGCGCAAGGGTCTCTGCACGCAGTGCAGGAGTTACACGTTATAGTCCTTTGCCAATCTGCCCTTCATTGGGACCCACGTCACAAAAGTCCTTCTGCATGCTCTCCTCAGCCAGGCATCTCTCCAGCATTTACAATATACTCCCCAAACAACAGTAGGCTTGTCTGGTTTTTTAAAAGTAATTGAGGCTGCCCACAGTTTCTGGCAATAGCTTTGGAAAATGACATCTCCTAATCCCAATCTTTTAGGGGACTAAATATGGTCATTGCTCATTATGCAGCACATAGAAGAGTTTTAAAAATGCATAGTAGTGCAATATTGCAACATGCCAGAGGGTGGAGAGTGAAAGTCCAGCCCCCCCGCAGGGAGCAGGTATTTTACGCTGGATACTCGGGTACTAATTCACATTCATGATTTGACTCATTACATCAAGTCAGATAAATCCAGGCCTGATGTTAAGGGAAAAGGGTGGTTTGTAAACAAATGCCATGCAATCCATAGATGCAGTGAGTTTACATGGGTGCTGCAAAATGAAGCAATTTTGCCCATTGGGAATGCAGATAAATGTCCCTCCTTTATTCCACAAGTCTGTCTTTTAGACTTTCTCTCAAATAATCTTCCTTCCCTTTTCTGTGGCCTTTAGCCCAGGCATTACTTCGGGCGGGTGAATTGGCACCAGAGAAGCAGGACCGGGTGGGGGAAGTCAGCACGAAATAGGAGACTGAGAAGCAGCGCTCCATTTCAATGACCAAGAGACCTGGAGGAGTTGCCACCCTGTTGCATGAGCAGATGCTAAAATCAGGGTGAGTTTTCTCCTTCTCGTCCTTACAAGGGTGTGCAGGTGGTCGAGAGGGAAGACAGATCTGAGCATAAATACAGTGCACTAGACACAATAAAATCCTACCACACAATAAAACGCTACCACACATCAAGATATATGGTGCTATTTCTCCTTCCGATGACTTTGTCCTGCCTATGTGCAGGCCCAATTTATTAATATTAGTGAGATGTTGCCGGGAGCCAGAGGGAGCAAATCTGGGTATTTTTCAGTAGCTTGTGATTTACTAAACAAGGTTCTATAGATCACAGGGCTGCAACCTTGACCCAAGCTGAGATCAGAGCAGGAAATGCCGCTTGTGAAGGGTCCCTGCTCTGTGCGCTATGCAGGAAGCTCTGAAGCCTTAAAGGAACTGCAGTCTCTTTTGGCATAACAAGATGAAAGAAACCTTCACAAGTGAGTGTGTGCAGAATATCTCAGATCAGCATTCCTGGGTGAGTTCATCTCAGTGCTGCCTGGCCTCTGGGCAGGGGGATGAGGGGCCAAGACAAGGTGTGGCAATAGCTAGATTATTGCTACCTAGAGAGGGCCTGGGCAAAAGCACAGATCCAAATACCTCTGTATCTGGGGAAGTTCAGGAGACAAAATGTTATATAAACCCCACAGGTGGCTGGGTCTAGATCTCCCCCCATGCATTCTTCCCCTTCCCTGTGGGGTGCTAGGCCTAGAACTCCCGCACATAGGCACCCCTCCCCTCACAGGGGCTGGGCCTAGAACCCCCATCTCTCCTCCCCTCACAGGGGCTGGGCCTAAAACCCCCATCCCGCCTCGCCTTGCAGGCCCTGGGCCTGGACCTGCCCCCTCCCTGTGGAGATTACAGAGACCCAGCACATTGTCCTTGGTTCCTGTTTGCACCAGTCCTCGTCTCTTTGCTCCGTGGCTCCTAGCAGCCACCCTGAAGAGTGGCTGTAAGTGCTCATAAGGGTGGGCAATGCTGTCAGGTGCTGGACTCGAGCCCTGGTGTGTGAGGGGCTTTCCCTGTGAGAAGTGCACTCCTCTCAGACACTGCCCACGCCTGCCTTCTGCAGCCCAGAACCAGCCCAAAGCTGGCAGAGCCATCGGTCAGAAGAGCATGGAGAGGCCACTGAGCCCTGGCTCTGGGTCAGATCAGGAAATGCCAAGGCAGGGACCAGGAATGGCCACGAGGATCCCCTTGCAGCACAGCTGCTTCCCGCAGGATGTGGGCTGGAGTTCATCGTCATGTGGAGGAACCGGGCGTCCAGCCCATAAACCTTGGGCTTCCCCTGAAATCTGTTGGGGAAGTTGCCATGCACATGGAGTCCTGGTGCCTCTGCACTGGGTCTTCCTAGCTCGCTGGCCCTGTGGGACTCTGCTCTGCAGGCCAGTGACAGCAGCTCTCTGCTCTGCTCTGTCAGCTGGGGGCCAAGGGGATGCTGGGCATCACCGATTCACAAGCCCCAGGGCCAGTGGGGACCATTGTGATCATGTAGTCTGACCTCCGGCACAGCACAGGCCAGAGAATGGCCCCACAATTCCTAGACAAACATCCAGGCTTGACTGAAAAATTGCAAGTGATGGAGAATCCACCAGGACCCTGGGTCAGTTGGCCCAATGATGAATTACTCCCACGCTTACTTTTTTTGCCTTATTTCCAGTGTGAATCCCAGCCCTGGCTCGCCCCTCCCCAGGCCCCTGGGGAGACGAGGAGACAGTGCTGGGGGTGAGGGGCTGATGCCTGCATCTGCGTGAGGCAGGTATCGGAGCCAGATCGTACCCAAGGAAACACTTGGAGTGGCCTGGCCCTTGTGCTCTGGCAACCCTTACCGACTTGGCCTCCATCCTGCCTAGCCCTGGATACAGTGTGTGTGAAGCTCCCACAGCAGGTGCCAGGCTGGGCAGAACCAGCACTGTGTCCCCAGTGGCTGAGCAATACAGGATCAGACCCACATTGAATTCCTTCTCCTTCCCTTTCCCATGCTGGTGGGGTTCTGCAGGCTTCTCCCCTGATCAGAAAAGCTCCCGCCCACATGGACTCTCTCCAGCCACTGGGATCCCATTACAGTCTGATTAACACCCGCTGCTCCTCAAATTACCTTCCAGTCATTTAAAAAGACTGACAGCCCAGGCCAACTGCTCTTCAGAGCAGGAACAGAAGGGAGCGTTTACAGCGAATCTCCAGCCACTCCCCACCAATGGAGCCATCCTCCCTGGGGGTCAGTCACTATCACAGACACAGATGGCGGGCCCATAGACTGCCAAGGGCCTGCCGCCCAGGAGACGACTCGGCTCCATGCGCCATCCCACCCTTTCCCCACATGGCTGTTTCCTTTTCCGCTGAGCAGACTGCACTGATCAGACAAGGCCCCCCCGTCTTGCTCTCTTTTTCCAGACAAGGTAATTTAGTAGAATTCAACTCCTGCTGGGCTAATTTCTGTGAATTAAAAATAGCCGTAGTGATGATGCATTTGAGGTGTGCTTGCTTCCACCTTTACACAGAGAAATGTAGCTTAGAAGGAGCAGAGATAAGGGTCGTGAGAACAACCTCTGGACTCCCCTGGGTCTGTCAGGTCAATCATAGAATCGTAGGACTGGAAGGGATGACCTCGAGAGGTCATCTAGTCCAGTCCTCTGCACTCGTGGCAGGACTAAATATTATCCAGACCATCCCTGACAGGAGTTTGTCCAACCTGCTCTTAAAAACCTCCAGTGACGGAGATTCTGCAACCTCCCTGGGCACTTCATTCCAGTCAGAACTAAACCACACTGGGCCTGTTTTGCCCCCCTCCAGCACCTTGTCTAACCATGCACACTGCTGCAAACTGGGTGGCAGGCACACACCAGGGTGGTCAGGAAGCATTATGCACGTTGCACTGGCTTTGCCCCAGTGGAAATCTGAGGTGCAGGCTGAGGAATTGGGGCTCTTTTTAAGGTGCTAGACATCATGGATGCCACCAAAGTGCCCAGGCTCCATGGTAACATGTGCCTGACACCCAGAACAAGGAGCTGAAAAGTGGCTGTTGGGGCTTGGATCAAATATTGTCACATGCCAGGGCCACCCGATAAGGGGGGTTATTGCTTGGCATGGGATGCAGGGGCATGCACAACGGGGGTATGCACACAGGTGGGTGTGTGCCTATGTGCATGCGCAGGTGTTTTTACATACTTCCAAGCCTGGGCATGGCTGGTCTGGTCTCCTGGTCCAGGTCACTCTCAGATGGCCATTTGCAGCAGGAGGAAGCCCTGGAGCGATCACCCAGCAGAAGCCCTCCCCAACCTGTAATTACCAGGACCCCCCTTTGCATCCTTTCTGTAGCTGGGTACAATGTTGGCCGCCCTCCAGAACAGAAGATGCTTTGACAATGAATTATGTTTG